AAACATGGAATGTTTTTCCATTTGTTTGTGTCATCTCTGATTTCTTTGAGTAGTGTTTTGTAATTGTCCTTGTAGAGATCTTTCACTTCCCTGGTTAGCTGTGTTCCTAGGGAGGGGGGGAGGTGTGTATGCATGCATGCGTGTGTGTGTGTGTGTGTGTGTGTGTGTGTATGTTCTTCGCCTGCTTTTTAATGGGGCTGTTTGTATGAAACGGTAACTTCGAAACGGCTTATTTTTGTTTTTCCTCATCAGATCCACAGAATGGCTTAGTGCAGTTTAGATTTGTGAGTGCACAAGTTAATTTCTGCAGATAATTTCTTTTTCCTATGTAATTTGAAAAACAAATGTGAACAACTCTGAAGAAGGCTGTGGTTACATGTGAAAACAGTGATGAGCATTTTTGGAGACTACTGTTAAGTCAAGTTGGTAAGATATAATGGTTTCATTCTACTTTGCACTAAGTAGATAAATATCTGAAATACTGTGACCAAGTATGAGAGCCACACATGGGACTTTGAAAATCTGAAGCAGTGTCAGTTTTAACCTAGCAGGAGATGTTCTATTTTCAGACATGTCCTATGTATAAGAGAGGCTAAATCAGTTGGGATCATCCAAGCAGGAGGAGAGAAAGCTTACAGAGCCTGATGAGTTCCTTCAGATACGGATATTCTCTCTATGCTGTAAAGGCTGCTTCACAGCATAGTGAACATCTTGCTGCTCAGTGTGAAGGACGAAGCTAGGACAACAACCTCAGATGATGGGTGCCATGAAAGGGACATGATGGGTAGGAAGTTGCACTGCCCTGAAGATTCTTTCCAACTCTATGGTTATTTGTTATTTGAAGTTGAAATTAATGCCATTTGAAGAGTTACATTTGTAAATCTATTATGAAATTTGATGTGCTCCTTGCCTGCTCCTCTATTCAGATTTCAGCTATATTTCCCCATGAAAATTTTGAGAATGTTCACGTGACTTTGGCATTTAGAGATGTCAGTAAACTTACGTAGTGCCTGTCTATAAGCCTCTTTGACAATCATATGCTGTCAAATTGCTTCACCTTGTGGTCTGAGCAAGATTAGAGCTGTTTCTTTTTTCATCCTCTGAGCTCGGATTTATTTCATTATTCTGAAGTTTTACAAAAACACACATACATTCCCAATGCGTATCTTTTTGGCTCTTTGTGAATCTTATTATGTGTATAAATTAGGGAATAGTTAAAAAGAAAGAAAGCAAACCCATAAACAGTCTTCAAGAGTAAGTAAGTTGATAACTTTTTCTAATTAATCATTTAGAGGCTCTCCCTAAGAAGAATTTTGCTGGGTACACACGCCCACCAGCTCTGTCTCCCTCCTAGACACCCTCTTTTGCCCCCATTACCTTCTTTGTCGCCAACACAAGTTATATTAGCCCTTGAAATTAAAGATATTGCTGTCCCAGTTGTGCTTGTCTTCATCTAAATGCCTGCAGTTATATTCCAAAAGGCTATCTGTTAATGATGTCTAAATAGTTTGCCCTTCACATCCATGAGTTCCTGTGTATAGACCAAACTAGTTGCAGATAGGAAATATTTGGGAAAAAATTTCATGTGCACTGAACACGTACAGACTTTTCTTTCTTGTTATCGTATATTAAACAATACAGAATATCCACCATTTACATAGCATTTACATTGCATTAGGTATTATAAGTAATCCTATAGATAATTTAAAGTATATAGGAAAATATGTATAAGTTATATGTGAATACCACATCATTTTATATCAAGTAGTTGAGCTTCTGCAGATTTTGGTATCCATGGGAGGTGCTAGAACGAACCCCTGTAAACACCGAGGGACAATTGTGTTTCTTCAGGTTTTGAAACCAACCTAATTTTGGAATGGGACCTGAGATTGATAGCAGCAGTCTTAATTACATCTTCTTCTGAGGCATCCCAGAGATCCTCAGGCCTCAGTTGGAATGTCACCATAGGGTTATGGGGTGCAACAGAGAGGAGGCTATCAGGCCAAATAAGTGAGCTGCTCTGGGAAATGTATAGTGTCTCTTTTCTGGCTGTGGCTTAGCTGAGCGTTCTTACCAGACCCCCAAATCCAGCCTGGTTTATAGGAAAAAAGGTAGAAGAATCTTCATAATGAAGGCCATTATTAGGCCTGTTTGAACTTAGCAGCTCATATAGGAGAGGACTATTAAATGGTGAAAGGCACTGCCAAACAACAGTTAACTGGATTCCTGGGGCACCGGAAATCGTCATGGCAAGATATCATAGTTCAAATTCATGGTCAGGAGTTGCAGTCCTGCTTGTGCCCTTGGCTTGTGTGTGTTGGGGAAAGTTTACTTTAGCATGTGGGCTGGTGGGCCGAAAAAGAAAGTGATGCTATCTGCCTGTTTTAGAGGCCTACCTCTGCCTTCCGGGAAGTGTTTGTTATAGGTTTTCACAATTTCTGAATATATTGGTGTGGCTGTATAGACTTAAAAAGAGAAATGCTTAAGCTTATGTTTAATAAGAAAACATAAAATGCAATTTGAATCTTTATTGCCCTTAACTTTCATGAGATACACACGGTTTTTCTTTTGTCCTTTTTGTTATACATAAAATTGTATTATCTTGCTGGCATTAAGTATTTGTAGAAGAGGAATACAGTAGCTCACCATTTCCCTTTTTCCTCAGTTTTCTGTAAACATATGTGTACACACACACACACACACACCCTGACTTCAGGCAACCAGTGTTGTCCTAGATGAGACTGAGTGAATCGAGTCTGATCCACTCTCATTTGTTAGTGTTTCTAACATTTTCCTATTGCTTGGAGCTTCTCCTTTTTCCTCCCCCTACCCCAAAGAGAAAGATGTAACTATTAATCGGCTTTTATGGGCAATGGAAAATAGGCGATCTAGCCTAGCATTCTGTTATAGAGCTTTCTGCAATTATGCCAATGTTCTGTACGCGCCCTGTCCAGTACACTAGCTGTTAGTCATATGTTGCTATTTGCATTGAAATGTGGCTAGTATGATTGACATACTGAATTTCTAATTTTATTTCATATTAATGTAAGTTTAAATCGCCATATGTGACTAGAGGCTACCATATTAAACAGAACAACAATTGCCAAATAATTTATAGCATCAGAAAATGTGCTGAGCAAATGTACTAATCAGTAGATGCAACATTCTAAATACCTCTTTTCTATATTGAGCCAAATGATACTTAGAAGTAATGCAATATCATTTGTCATAGATGTTAAGATAATCATCAAAAAGGTTGAATAAAAGTCAATATCTGCCTAAAGCATTTGTAATTGGTTGTAGAGACCATTTTCTATTTTATGCTAGATGCTTTACATATCTGCTTTACAGCTATATCATCTATTGTTTTCACAAGAGTTCCAAGTTAGATATTATATTTTTTCATTTCATGTAGGGCAGAAAGCTGTGGCACACCAATTTAAAATAACAAACCCGGGTCACACAGCCAATAAGTAGTGGAGCTAAGTTTTGAACCCAGGTCAGGCTCTCCACTGATGCATTTCACAGTGAATATTTCCTACATGGTCTTTTAGGGCACTTGTGCAAGCCTCCCTAGCCATCATTTGGAAGTAGGGCAGGTGTGAAGAACGTGAGCCCTGGCACCACACTGCTTGTTCGAATCCTGCCTCTACTGTTAACACCGGTATGAAGTTGAGCAACTTATTTAATATCACTGGGCCTCAATTTTCTCATTTTAATATGGAAATATTAAAAGTACCCGTCTTGGAGTGTAAATTAGTTCTAGATCTTTGAAGAATTACCACACTGTCTTTCACTATGGTTGAAAGACAATGTAGTAATTCTTCAATGATCTAGAACCAGAAATACCATTTGAACCAGCAATTTCATTACTGGCTATATACCCAAAGGATTATAAATCATTCTACTCTAAAGACACATGTACAGGTATGTTTATTACAGACTATTTGCAATAGCAAAGTCTTGGTATCAACCCAAATGCCCATCAGTGATAGACTGGATAAAGAAAATGTGGTGCATATACACCATAGAATACTGTCCAGCCATAAAAAAGGATGAGTTTTATGTCCTTTGCAGGGACGTGAATGAAGCTGGAAACCATCGTTTTCAGAAAATTAACCCAAGAACAGAAAACCAAGTACCACATGTTCTCACTCATAAGTGGGAGTTGAACAATGAGAACACATGGATACAGAAAGGGGAACAGCACACACTGGGACCTGTCAGAGGGTAGGGGGCTAGGGGAGGGATAGCATTAGGAGAAATACCTAATGTAGATGACGGGTTGATGGGTGCAGCAAACCACCATGGCACATGTGTACCTATGTAACAAACCTGCACATTCTGCACATGTATCTCAGAACTTGAAGTATAATAATAATAAAAAGTACCCATCTCATCAGGTTATTGTGAGGGATTAAATAAGTTAATAGTATCTGACACATTGTTTTAACTGTACATATTTGCCATCACAATGATTTTTAATTTAAAACACACTGCTATTTATGTTAGGATGTTGATTTGATATGATAATAAATGAAGTAGAGATATGCTTTGGGTGTAATTCCTTATGAAATAAGAGAGATTCTAATCATCAGGTAATTTGGGAAGAAACACCCTGCTGTTCAGCTACTTTGGTGTCTCCATCAGTAGGATTATAAAGTTTCAGAGCCCACATGCCCTGGCCAATTTCTTATATCTTTGCTTGTCATGTTACCCTTATAGACATCCCCTTTGGTGTCTTTGATTGGTTCTGAATGCTGAACAGTGACATGCACCAGCACAGCTGGAAAGGCCTGTAAGATTTGCTGTTCTGTCTTCCAGCAGGGAATTATTGCCATGGATACCAGTATCAGAAGAAGACTGGGGAGCACTCTCCGTTCGCCTGCTGAGTGTCTGACATCTGTTTCTGGCACACCCAATAATGAATATGCTGCCAACTTCATATCAAATGAGAGTCTGATCTATACCTTTTGGTTTTTGTTTTGTTTTTATCACAGATGGCCTCTGCCCAAGATGCCAGGTATGGCCAGAAAGACTCCTCTGATCAGAACTTTGACTACATGTTCAAATTACTCATCATCGGCAATAGCAGTGTGGGGAAGACATCTTTTCTATTCCGTTATGCAGATGACTCCTTTACATCTGCATTCGTCAGCACAGTGGGGATCGATTTCAAAGTAAAAACCGTATTCAAAAATGAAAAGAGAATCAAGCTTCAGATTTGGGTAAGTGGCTTTGAACTGGAGGTGTTCTTCAGGCTAGAGTGTCGAACATATCCATGTGTAGAGGAGAAACTTTCTGTCTTGTTCTGTCTCCATGGCATCCACAAGCCTCAGTTTCCAGCCTCTTTGCTGCAGAACATTCTGTTTCAAAGACAGTAGTGGTGATTACTCTTTAAGATACGAAGGGTGAATTATTATGCCTTGTTGTCATGTGGCACTCCTTAAGAGTCTTTGAAAGAAAAAGAAAAATCCGAACCTCTATCTTGTTGCTGGAGGAAGGAACTTGAAGTCCGGCTCTGTCCTTTATGATCTGTGTAACCTTGAGAAAGTCTGTGACTCCTTTTTTGCCATTTTCATAGTCTGTAAAATAGGCTAAATAGATCTGGCCTTTTATGTCACAGAAAGCAGCCTTTCCCGGGCATTTTAAAAAGATAAACAACCAAATTTAGGAAAAGTATAGGTTTAGACCCTTCATAAAGCTCCAGATACAACGTCAAAGATAGTCTATTTATACTGTGAAAACTGTTTTCAACTCTAAGAGCCATGCTTATATATGCAAACAAAACAAATGAAATAAAATATTTATTTCATTTATTTTATATGAAACAGTCTTCCCAAAATAGAAAGTTCCCCTGAAGTTTTGAGACTGTTTGGCTACCTTTTTGCCTCTCCTTACCTCCAGAAGATCAGAGGTAGCCAAACTGGTGGGATAAATTTGGGAGACCAGTGAGCAAAAAGCAGAGGAAAATATATGTGGATGGCAGGTCCAAGGTCATATAAAAGATGAAGTAACCAATTAAACAAATGGTTACATGAAAAAGACTGATGTAGTAAATATTTTATTGACATCATAATATGCACATAGGCAAAATGTTTCTACAGTAAGTTTTGGTACCTTTTTAAAAAATTCCTTTATACTTCTGCCTCTCAAATTGATTTGATCTGTAATCAGGCATTTCCCAAGAGGTGTTTTCTACCTTCTTCTGAGACATTTACAGCAGCTACTACCATTTGGTGCTGGTACCAGGATTGATCTGCAGGACTGACAATAAGCTTCCATTCATAAATATGGAAAGCCAAAAACAAACAAACAGAAACAATCCCAGAGTAGATAATTTTAACTATTTTACAAAAAGAAAACATCCACTTATTTAAAAATCTATATAAACTGAATGACTTTAAACATCCTAAAGGTTCCATTAAAGTAGAAATTTAAAGTAAAACTTAAAGTTGTAGGTACATACACAGACAGGTACCTTCTTAGATAGCCTCAATAGGTCGTTACTGTTTTACTTATTCTAACTCTGGAGTCTTTCAAGTCTAATTATAATTTAATAAGAACTTGTACAAGTAGGCCTTAGGTTGAGCATATTCCCTGCTCCATTGTTCCCCAAAGCCATTTTTATTGGGAATGTTACTCTTCAGGAACTTGACCTCAATTAGTGTAGATACCAGTCCCACACTCCTCTGTATGGCTGAAAAGCTTTGTCCATTGCTTCATCTCTGGGTCCTGATTCATTCTCTTCCTTTTGAACTGTAGGCAACCCAATTGTTATATGATATATTTCATATTAAGTTTTAAGAAAGGTCCCTTAATTCTCAGAGGTTTGGTGAATGGAAAATTAAATTAATTTGGAAACTATACATCCCTTAACTCCATGACAATGTTCTTTTTGCTAATATGAAAGAACTATCATTCCTCTGGTTGATAGCTCCACTTTTCCCTCTATTCTTTCTGTCGTAGAGATAATTAAAAATAGTTGTTGGGATCATTTACATAAAACATCAACATGGTGTGTTAAGGCAGTCTTGTAATTTCTAGCAAATTTTCAGTGTGGGTTTTTGACAGAAATTCTTCGTTTGAGGTACAAAATGATATATCTTTAATGTAAATCATATGTATTTCAAATAATATAAATTATTTTTCACACTTAAAAATGCTTTCCTTAAAACACTCAGTGCTGGTACCAGGCCAGTGCTAATTCACTCACCTTTTTGGGGGGCATTGAAATAAGTTATTTCTGTCTACATCTCACTTCCGGATGAATGTAGCTCTTCTCTGAGCCAACCAAAGCTGAGATTCCTGAGCTGCTTCTACTCTAGTACCGCCTCACGCGTCTCAGTTTCCGTAAGTTCATCAAAATGTCTCTGAAATATCATTCTCTCCAGATTTGTCTCTAATCTTCCAAAATCTGCCAGTTTCTTAAAAAGCCCTTCAAGTCTATAGACAGTCAGGCCTGGGACCTCATTCTAGGGCCTCCGTTCTCCTGCTCTGCAGTCACCCACACTCCTGTCAGGGTTCAGCCACTTGGGAATCCTTCACTTTCCCCCCTCGTCAGTCACAATAGTAGATTAATGGCCATTACTATTGTTGCAATTAAAACATAATCCAGTTTCTTCCTCTTTAGGTACATGTGTTCTTTATGTGCCCTTAAGGTACATCTGATTCTAGGAGTGTGAAAATTGGTTTTATAGTGTATACAATACTGTATACTATTATATATACTATTGTGGCCTATTAGTTTGTGAAACATTTAAAAGAAGCCCAATACAAAGATTTTGTGCGTATTGAACTTGTAGTATAGTTATAAAGGGAAATTAATACTCATTGGATAATTATGTATTTCTACAGGCAAATAACAAATTGTATAAAAATATGCATAGCTAGCATTTACTGAATACATACCATATGCTAGGCCTTATCTATGCCTTATGTCTAATTCTCACAACCCAACTTTGTGTTTGTTACTATCCTGTTTTACCTGAGAAATCTGAACATAGGACATTTAGATAAGTTAAATAACTTGGTCAGGGTTGTACACGGTGAATGGCTACAAGGGGATTCCAGGCTAGATCTATCACATTCTAACACTGCTCTAATTAAGAGTCTTCCCGAGTTTGGTGATGGTGGGTTTTTTTGTTTTGTTTTTTTGTTGTTGTTGTTGTTTTTTGGAAGATGGCAAACTTGGGTGATACATCTGGGATGTTGAAAATGTTTTTGAAAGAGTTCAAATGTGAAGCATGCGGGAGAAGATACAATGAGGAGCAACAGTGGTATGCTTCAGTATAGGCATTCCTATGATAATTTTAGGGATCCTGGTATTATGCTATAATGTAAGTGTGCTGGAAAATATTTAGTTGTAGGTAGTTATGATTGTTTAATAACTCTCACAGATCACTTATTTGGAAATATATTTAGCACTGATGGCTTGTCATCCCATTGTGCTTTAATAACCAAGTAGTGAACTGCTCTTCCCAACTTACAATATTTTTATGCATTTATATTATGTGTAACTAATTGTTAAGATCCACATCATCTTAGCCTATTATATATCTCAAAGAAATGAAGCAAAACGGTTTCATAGTATGAAAACCATCATGGATTAATAGTTATACCATTTTCTCTACCAAGACAGGTTTTAGACATTGATTTAACTTGGATCACTTTATTCATTTTAAACTGCCTCCAAATAGAACTGTTTCCAAATTAGGAATCCAAGATATAGAGACGCTAAGTGATTTGACCTTACCTTACAGTTAGTACCAGAGCATAGGCTAAAATCCAGGTCTCCTGCTAGCTAGGCTAGTCTGATTTCTATGACATTATACTTCTCCTCAAGGTACCTGTTGTATGACTAAAATTGTGATAAATCTCAACCTAGTTGTCAGTGAAATCCTCCCGCTATAGAAAAATCAAACTTGAGATCAGGTTTCAAGTAGCATTTTAATTTTCATTGTTATTTTTATTTTTTGAGAAGTAGTCTCATTCTATCCCCTAGGCTGGAGTGCAGTGGTACAATCTCAGCTCACTGCAACCACTGCTTCCCAGGTTCGGGTGATTCTCCTGCTTCGGTCTCCTGAGTAGCTGGGAATACAGGTGTGTGCCACCACACTGGTTAATTTTGGTATTTTTAGGATAAATGGGGTTTCACCATGTTGGCTGGGTTGGTCTCAAACTGCCGACCTCAAGTGATCCACCCACCTTGGCTTCCCAAAGTGCTGGGATTACAGGCTTGAGCCACCATGCCTAGCCTCAAGCGGCATTTTTACTGTGTCAGTAAGGAAGAGCTTGAGTGGGAAAGCTCTTTCTTGTTTTCTACTTGATGCTTTGCTTTCTTGTCATGTGCTGCGTAGGGATTTTCTGATTCTTCAAACTGGATTAGTAGATTTGCAACAGTCCCCATTCAAATAAAGCATTTTAACAGGTGATATAGACACATTTATACTTCCTGAATGTGTTACACATCTCTGTGGAAGGAGGAAAGAATGGGAGAGTCAGAGTAAGCAGGTTGTGGATTAGCTAGTTTGAATTTCAGTGGGCTCTGGGACACCGGGGTGATCCCCCAGTTGCCTGGCACTGAATTAGTCCTGGGGTGATTAGGACAGATGGATAGCGGCCCAGCGTGTGAAAGCTGAGTAATGGAGGTGGTTGGGAGGGTGTGCTCTGGATTGGTTGGCTTGCCTTTGAAAAGAGTGCTCCAGTGAGTTGTTTACTATCTCTGGAAACTGGGAGGGACAGTCCCTCCAGATTCAGTGAGGCCCCAAATGTCAAAGAATCAGAATACAACAAATAAAACATATGAAAATAAAAGACATGGTTAATACGGAGGGAAAGTCCTTGGAGCCCCAGGGGCAGTCTCTGTCACTAATTTCACTCTGACAAATGCTGTAATTCCCAACTCTTTCACTATGGGATTGGTACATTTTTTTGCGTCTCAGTATTTGGAGACCTAGCACATCGAGCCAGGAAAAGATCTGACAGATTTTCTGGCTCAGCTTCTTCATTTGATGATGATACTATTAATAATAGCAACATTTATCAAGCCCAGTGCTGCCCCATAACGTAAGCACTTTACATTTCTATGCGTTTTAAAATTTATTTTTTTCAACAACCAAATAAAGGTGGTATTATTAGCCCTCTTTTATAGCAAGGAAACAGAAAACCAGAAAGACGATGTGATTTGTCCAAGGTTATAGTCACAAGCAGGATTCCAACCGGGGCA